TCTTCCCATCCTCCCCCCTCTCCACTTCCCCCTGAGATTCATCAGTCTATTCCACTGGTCGGCAAACCTCGGCTCGCGAGCCACATGCAGCTCTTTGGCCCCTTGAGTGTGGCTCTTCCACAAAATACCAAGTGTGGGCACGCACGTACAGTGTGATTGAAACTTCATGGCGCAGAAGTCGGTTTTCGGAAAGGAGATAGACGAAACAAGTATACAAGACGAGTGTGGATGGGAGAGTTGGAAGGGGTTGACCTCAGCGAATGTACCTCAATCAGATTGAGGATGTTTTTAGCAAAGGCCAGCTTAGGAGTACCCTAATTAAGTTAATAACAATGTACCTACCTATATAGTTTAAGTTTAAAAAATTTGGCTCTCAAAAGAAATTTCAATCGTTGTACTGTTGATATTTGGCTCTGTTGATTAATGAGTTTGCCAACCACTGGTCTATTCCATGTTTCCATGCCGGTGCGTTGAGCATCTGCCCCCTGATGGTCAGTGCGCATCATAGCTACCGATTGACTGGTCACTTAGGCTTTTATATATAGAGGCCCAGTGCATGAAATTTGTGCACGGCGGGGGTGGAGGGGGGTGTCCCTCAGCCCAGCCTTCACCCTCTCCAATCTGGGATCCCTCTCACAATCCAGGATTGCTGGCTCCCATCGCTTGCCTGCCTGCCTGATTGCCCCTAACTGCTTCTGCCTGTAAACCTGATCACTCCCTAACCATTCCCCTGCCAGCATGATCAATGCCTAACAGCTCCCCTGTCGGCCCAATTGTCCCTAACTGCCTTCCCCTGCAGGCCTGGTTGCCCCTAACTGCCCTTCCCTGCTGGCCTGGTCACCCCCAACTGCCCTTCCCTGCACGCCTGATCACACCCAACTGCCCTCCCCTGCAGGCCTTATCACACCCAACTGCCCTTCCCTGCTGACCATCTTGTGTCCACATGGGGGTGGCCATCTTGTGTGTTGGAGTGATGGTCAATTTGCATATTACCTCTTTATTATATAGGACTAGAGCCCTGGTGCACGAAATTCATGCACTGGGGGGTTGTCTCTCAGCCCAGCCTGCACCCTCTCCAATCTGGAACCCCTCGGAGGATGTCCGACTGCTGATTCCTGTGGGACCGGGTCTAAACTGGCAGTTGGACATCCCTCTCACAATCCAGGACCACTGACTCCCAACCACTCACCTGCCTACCTGCCTGATTGCCCCTAACCGCTTCTGCCGGCCAACCTGATCACCCCCTAACCATTCCCCTGCCGGCCTGATCGCTCCCAACTGCCCTCCCCTAATGGCCATCTTGTGGCAGCCATTTTGTGACCACAGGGGGCGACCATCTTGTGTGAGAGCATGACAGTCAATTTGCAAAAAGAGATGATCATCAAATGCATGAAAATGTATGTTCAGGCTAGTCATAGGATTATCTACACTAATAAAAGGGTAATATTTGGCACTCCGTGCCAAAGGTGGTGGCGCCCATAGCCACAAAGATGGCAGTGTCGGCCGGTGCCACGGAGCCGGCGGAGCAGGCCGGAGGCTTGGCTTGGGCAGCGGCCATGGAGCTGGGCGGAGAGGGCAGGAGGATTGGCTTCCTTCATCGCCTTCCTCCCAAGCCAAGTCTCCCCGGGGCTAGGAAGGAAGCCAAGCCTCCCACACGCCTGGACTGGCCGCTGAGGGAGACATGCAGGGAGTGAGCGAGGTTCCCTTAAAAAAAATAAATGGGAAACAATCCAAATGTTTATCTCAAGAATATAATTAAATAAAGTATGATATAGTCATATAATTAATGTGGAGTCATTTAAAATAATGTAGAACTGTATTTACTCACATTGAAAACTGCTAATTAGGGAAAAAACAGCATAAAAACCTATTATATAATCCCATTTTTAAGTAAAACATGAATATAGATATGTGTGTATTTATATACCTGTTGGTTATATCGCTAGCTATATTTACAAATGGCCTTTGTTTCCTTTTAAGACTTTGTTACCTTTTGGAATGAGTACTTAAGCTTCCATAGTCATAAAAAAAATAAAGGCATTTAAAAAATTTACATTAAACT